ACTAATATGGAACCAATGATGATGTTTGTTAAAGAACCAAACAAATTGCTCTCTTGCTTGCCACATTTAGTATATTATTTTGATTGTTTTTTCTTAGGTACAAACATTTTTTATGGATTGAGGTATACATATTATCGTCTCTATTGAAGAAAATTACTGAATTTTTTCCAGCAGATAATGAAGAAAAAATCATATACAAAGGCTCGAAAAAAAGCTCAAAAAAAAAACTTGATTTATTATCAGTTCCTTCCAAGATTATCCAAGTAAAAGTTTTTTCCCTATTTCTTCCCTTCTCAATCCTGGCAATAGTAATGACTATTCTGAGACAATGAGGAAAAACATTTATGATACTCACAATTTTATGGTCATTTTTAACATATACATAATACAACATACTATAATAAAAAAGAGATTGATGGAGGTTCATAAGAAAGGAGTCGAACGTCCTCCATTTAAATTTAGTTAATTATGTTCTTGTATGGACGTGATGTTCCACTTTATTTGGGAGTGTTTTTGTTCGAGGCTTTTTGGTCTCTTCTTTAATGTCTGATGTTGTTCTTTATAACTTTTTGGAATTTAGAAAATTTCATTACTTCATTTCCATGGAGATTTTCTTAGACTTCTTTCTTATACTAAAAATCTCTCTATGACTCATAATTTTTGTTTAACAAAAATGAAAATTAAAAAAAATATTGCACTTTAAGATTTAAGAAGAATGTTTTACCTTAAGATAAAATGTTCTTGACAATGTAGTGTATGTATCGAAAATACGAATATTACCGAATGACCATATGTAAGCTTAGTAAAATAGTCAATCCCGTGCGAAGCATGGGTAGTTTACCTAGTTAAGTAATAAACCAATGCAGCTGTTCAAATACGCTCAATTCTAAATGTATTAAGTAATAAGTATCAAATTATCATTTCTATTCATAGCGCATATTATCCATACGGTATATCTTACACTGACGCAAGCAGGTGACGAACAATACAAATGGTGAGAGATGACAAAATTGTGGGGAAGAATCTCAACAAGATCTTAGCAGGAGATGTCTTTACCAAAAAGTCCACTTATTCCTTTAGCAGGATCCTCCTGTTTGACAAGCGACTCACCAACTAGCACCTACGGAGATGCAACAACATTATCATCATATATAAATTATGATTGGACAAGGGTATAAATCAAACTACACTATTGATCAGAATGCATGTATCATGGTAGATGGTGATAAGATAATTGTCAAATGAAGACCAGAGATCTAGGCAAAACCATACTTAGAAAATAGCCACTAGCAACTATCGTCCTCCTGTTTTGGAATGATTATACGCAGTCATTGTGAATTTCAAAATTAGAAAAGAAGCTTACCGCTTTGACACCAGCGTCTTGTACATAGCCAATATCAGCTGGAGTAAATAGTCCAGACTCCCCAACAACCTGAAGAATTAAAGTGGCAGTGAAGTCACAATTTATTGAGAGAGCAAAACTACTAAAACAAAAGCTTCCATGATGTATAGAAGTCCATACAATAATGCCCTTCTCCCGAATTCTTTCCCCACGCTCTCCTTCCAGAAGTTTCTTGGTATTGCTAATGTCCACCTTGAAAGTTCCTGGTAACACAAGTTGATTTAGTTGACAAATCTTAAACAATTGAAGTTCAGTTGATTAAGCATGTTGCTCATAACGTCATTATTCTGTTTATACATTTTCCCCTAACCCTATATGTAGCCAGAAATCATGACTTTCTATGGAAGTGAACAGGGATTTAGAATCTCTGTCTTAATGAAGGAATCTTGATAATTTATCCAATGCTTTAGAGTTCATTTTGTTTAATTTCCTTATATGCTAGGTTATCATCTTACATCCCTCTCTCCCTTGCACCACCCAAACCCAAGTGGGTCACGTACACCTTTGCTGTTCAATTTGTCTCCTTATAGCAGTTGGCAACATGTAGTCTATCAAGAAATGAGTAGATTGGCGGTGTAGAATTAATTATGCAAATTACCAAGGTCTCTATTATTGATGCCAATCAGCTCAACCCCATCAATTCCGAGGACACGGTCCATTTCCATCTCATCATGCACCTAGAAACAAGAAGTTAAAATGGCTATGGAAGGAAAAGAAACAGAACAGTTAAACAGTCAAAGAAACTTGTTTCTCTTGGAAAAGTGAGAATCTTTGCAATAACAAAAATATCATCAATAAGGGAATTATTAGTTTATAATGGGAATACAATAGAAATCCATATCAATATATGCAGATTGAAAAGAATCTTAGCTATGAAACATATTACTCCCTCTGTCCCAATTTATATGACTCACTTTCCTTTTTTAGTCAGTCCCAAAAAGAATGACACATTTCTATTTTTAAGTAACAATTTGCCTATAAAATGTCTTTTTTACCCTTAATGAAATGATTTTACAACCACACAAATTTCTATCATTCATTTTGGACCACAAGTTTTTAAAAGTCTTTCCATTTTTCTTAAAGTTTGTGCCAAATCAAAGTACATCATATAAAATGGGACGGAGGGAGTAACTACCTTGAACAAACGGACATTGACATTTTCACTTTTGCCAATGAAAATAAAGACGGTTTTTCTATTATATGATATAGATTTTGAAAAAAATTAATTCCCTTTCAGTTCTTGCAATGGTCAAAAAGTAGGGTGGAGAAAGTAACAACTTACCTCAACTAGTGCTGTCAATCCAAGTAATTTGCAGATCTTAATCATATACTGGATGTCAAGATTTGGTAGGACAGCAGCAATTAACAGAATTGCATCAGCACCTTTGACCCGAGCATAGTAGATTTGCCAAGCCTCTATAACAAATTCTTTACATAACAAAGGGCACTGCAAAAGTTGGAGCTCAATGAAAAACTGTAAAGGACTCAATTATGATATATTATAGGTGGTACACAACAAACTTTGGGGGAATCTGCATACCTCTACTCCAGCATTCCTTATGGCCTCTAGATTTTCAAAGCTTCCCTAATTGACAAAAATAAAGAGAATCATGATAGCAATTTTGGAAAATCATTTGACAATCTGCATCTAAGCACTTTCACAATACACAATCAGTATAATTTATGCCCTATTTCTCACAGTTGATGTCACTTCCTAACAACTCCATTATACATCCCAATTCATGGGTGACAAATAAGAATGTACAGGCAGATTTAGTCATGCACTTAAATGGATGGTTTATCCTTTCCTTATCAAAAAGGTAATCTGTAACATACACATATCCTGGTTACAGTTTTTCAACACTTCAATTACAATTTAAGGCCCTACTAGGAAAAGGATACAAATCATTATTACTATTATTGTTTGATTGGTGGAAAAGGATACAAATCTTTCAGCATTTCTGATTAGATTCCCTTTGCATCAAAAGGAAAAATAATGCCTGCAACTTTGTCAAACACTATAATTACAACTTAAGATTCCTGCTAGAAAAGCATAGGGGGGAAACTAACATCAATATTTTCATCTTAATAATGACCATGAAAATTGCATCTACATTATGAAATTTAGTTACTGATAGTAACCGTCTCTGATAGTGGTACCTAGATAGTCATGTTGCTATCCCTAAAGCCGTTAATTACTTCTTTTTTTAAAACTAAAAGTCTGCTTCTGAATTTTCATGTAATGGGCTACTTAGTGTTTGTGAAATCCCCCACCC